CTGTTGCGTTACTCTACATCTCGGTAAAGTACAGCGCAGCAATGATGGAAGTTTATATTACGGCTGTTAACTCTCTAGTTCATGTCATCATGTATGGCTATTACTTCTTCAGTTCCTTTGATAGTTGCAAGAAATTAACAAACATTATCAAACCGTACCTGACATCAATTCAAATAATTCAGTTGACAACGATCTTAATTCATTGTATTGTTGCTGTTCAGCCGAGCTGCAGGACAGTCCATGAAATTTTTTATCCACAAATTGTAAATATGACATTGTTACTTACTTTGTTTATTAAATTTTATGTTAAAAGCTTTATTAAGAGAAAGCAAAAGTAAGATGCTTAGGTAAGATGAATAGAACTGAATAAATTGCGGCATTTTAGGCACAAAAAATAATATTTTAGGTTTCATAGATTATGTGCAATTCATGGAAAGAAATTATGGAATTTTTAATAATTTTATTTTTCAGTAAATGTTGTGAGTGTCGGTTGTGGGTGGAGGGGGGGGGGGGTCATTCCTAGCTTCGCCACAGCATCTACTAAAGAGTTTATTAAATGATATGTACGATACTCATCTCATCAAACATATAATTTAGAATTTAACCTGTAATCGTCTTTGATCTCCAATTATAAATTATCTTGTAAGGTCTCTAAAAAGCAAGAATCAATAAATTATATGCATTTAAACCATTTACTGCAAACTATTCAATGAACTTCAGCAGATCTTCGATACACGTGTGGACGTTTGATTTGTTGGTCATAAATTGTAGATGAAGCTGACTATTATTAAATGTTTATGGTATGAAGTTCAAGAATTTTGAAGAAGTCACGTATTGGTATTGGCATAGATTCTGATCCATCAAGCTCAAGTTTATAATTTATTGGTGGTTAAATGCCTTAGGTTTATTCATAATTAGTGGTTGCATTTAATCGATTGAATGATGAGATTTGCAACTATGTTGCTTAATTAACACACTGGAGGTATTTTAAGGAATTCAAACATAAATTTTTAACCTCAATGACTGCTTAATAATTCTTACAAACTTAGATTTCCGAAATTTAAATCAGAATGAAGTGACAACAGCTGAACAACTACAAAAATGAGCTAGAAAACCAACAAAAATTCTGACACGATCGTGTTTTAGTACATCTTTTTATTATTAATTATTAATGCCTGCATAATTGTTTCGGCTCAATAAAGTTGACTCTATAAAAATAATTATTAAAATAGTGTGAAAGAATTCTTTAAGACGCAAAGAACGAATATTGTTCACGATTTTTTTTATTTAAATAAGTTCATTAAATCTTACAAAATATCGATTTATTAAAGAAAATTTATATCGATTTATGGATAATTTATGAAAATACTATTTTTATTGAAATTGGACAACGAAATGGTTGAGTAATTCTGTTTTTCGAACTTTCTATTAGAATTGAGAAATTTATTTAACTGCAAGAATTAAAATAGTGCAAAACTAGCTTCAAATTAAAATATAAAATTAATTAAATTTAGTGTAAGATGAGAAATGCAACAAATATATCATGGAATGAAAGAAGTAAGTAAATCTTAATTCTGAGACTATGAATAGTTCGATAAATAGTGACTCTATAGAATCACGAAACAATCAAAAATATCTTTAGGGTTGCTACTAAGGAGCCTTTCACTTGGATACACTATAAGCATTACGGAATAAGCTATTGAATTATAAACCATTTAAAAAAAATTATTTTATTCCTCCAGACTCGATAGTGTTTTCATGGCCACTTACATCATCACCATACCCCCTCATTTCAATATTCGTCATCTATGTCTGGTTTGTCCTCAAAATTGGACCAAAAATAATGGAAAATCGAAAGCCGTTCAACCTGTCTTTTGTTACGCGTGTCTACAATCTTTATCAAATAGCTGGATGCATTTTTTTCATCATAATTGGACATAAGCTTGGATTTTCATTCAAACATATGTGGAAGTGCATTGATGAGCCAAAAAGAAATGGCGTAGTTGATGAGAGTTTAGTCGATGGAAGTTATTATCTTTGGTTTTTCATTATTCTTCGACTTTCCGAACTACTTGAGACTGTCTTTTTTGTTCTGCGCAAGAAGTTCAAACAAGTTTCCATGCTACATGTTTATCATCACATCAGTACAGTTGTTTTACTTTGGATATTCCTGTTGTACAGCGGTGGCATGATGGAATGGTTTATCGGTGCCCTAAATTCAGCTGTACATATTCTCATGTATGGATATTATTTTTTGAGCTCATTTGGTCAATGCCGGAAGTACACAAACATCATTAAACCCTGCATTACATTCATACAAATCACTCAGCTGTTTATTATTTTTGGACATTCTGTTGCTGCTCTACTTCCAGGCTGCAATGCTTCTTGGATGTTTATTTTTCAGATGCTGAATGCTGGATTTTTGATTTCAATGTTTGTGAAATTTTATATTAATTCTTATATCAGGAATAAGGAGAAGATGTCGTAGACGTGATTTGTGAAAAATTATAGTAGTGAAGTTTTTAAAGAAAATGTGACGTGAAAATTTGAATAAATGGAAATTTAAGTGTGAAAATATTTGGGATTTTTTTGAATTTGGGGGTTCATTTCTCAATGATGTCCTATTTCATGTCTGATTCATCAATGATGGGTGTCTATTCCATGATGAACATAATTTCTAAGGACCCCTGAAGTTGACAACAACTTCCTAGCTAGTCAACTTATTGATATTCTTAATTAAGTCATTAAACCTTAACATGTCGCAAAAAGAGTGAAGTTTGAAGTGTTACTCTGCAAGGTCGTGCAATAATCATATAATTGAACTTTCTGCATTTGCTTTTCTGCAATGTTAAGTGAAGTTCAAGAACTTTGACTGCTTGTTTTTCTTAAGACTTAACCGTAGATGCATTGACATTGGCATGAAAAACTTGGAAATGTTAATGTAATATTGCATATGTGCATGCAAGGGTCAGACACTCCAAAAGTATTGTAATGTATTGTACAATACTTTACAATACATATGAAAGTATTGTAAGTATTGTACAATACCTACAATACTTACAATACTTGTATGACAAGTATTGTAGGATTGTACAATACTTACAATTCTTACAATACTTGTATGGAAAGTATTGTAAGTATTGTAGTTTTTACAAGACAGTTTGAGAAACATTTGTCATATGAATTTGATTATAATTGACGGTTTTTAAGTAGTTTTTCGTGTTTCTTTACATTTTTTGAACCAAAATTTGATGAAAATACATAATTAGCAATTTTGAACTAAATATTTTTAAGTTTTAATTAAAATTTTATAGTTCTTCAAAAATATTCAGTCTAAAACATATACAAATATTGTAAAAATATTTGTAAACAAAATTTTTGGTAATAAAGTCATTTTTCAAAATTTTCAATAGCAAAAAAAGTATTCTGGCTCGAAACAAGGGCGATATAACGCCAGATGCAGCCAAAAATATCAAACATTATTAACGAAAACATAGATAAGATGAGAATATTAGACATTAGTCTCCTCATATTAGAGGAACTTTAACGTTTGCTTCAGTTTTATAGAGGTAACACAGAGGTTTAGTTTTTTTTTATAGCGCTTTAAGTCATATCATAACATTGCTATGCCTCGATTTAAGTTTGTTTCTTTAAAGTTTACTTTGTAGAAGAAAATATACACTTTTAAATGTCTTAGAGATGCAGTTGTTGAAAATATGTATTTTCAAAAAAAAAATCTATAAAAACCATTTGATAAGTTTGTTAAATTTGATTCCTTCTTAATCGCCTTCTTGTCAGCGGTAAAAAAATTCAAATCGTCAAAGTAATGTTTGAATACACTTAAAACCTTATACTTTGATCAAAAAATTTGTATAAAACGTAATGCAGTTTTCTATAAAGGGTGGTAAATCTTGTGAAAATGAAACCAATCTATTTAATTTTGATTCCTTATTGACATCAAGATATATAGATGAGCTCATACAAAAATATCACTGTTTTTAACGGACAAAATTTTGAATTTTCTGTAAACATTAACACTATGAAAGAAAATTTTCAATATTTGTTTTGCAAAATTTTCAACTTTCTGTTTTGTTTTGTTGGTACAGGAATATTGCAAATGCTTTACTATTAATTAAAGTAACTGACTAAAGTCGAATAGTTATGCATTTATCAGTATTTAAATGAAAACTTTAAATTTAAAATTTAAAATTTTTTTGTTTGTATTAGTAAACAAAAAATAGTATGGTCGAGTATGGTCAAGTATACTTGGTATGAGCTCATCTATATATCTTGATTGACATTTAATATTAGTTTACATAATAAACTTCGTACCTGTACGGTTTTATGCATGAGAATTGTATGAAATCAATTCTTGATTTGCATCAGTCAAGCTTTACAAAAGAATTTTGAACTTTTTACCATTTTTATAGCCATTACATAATCAGAAATTCTCTTTTTTAATGGAAAACTGAAATTTGTGCTAGTTTTTCATAAAATACCCCTGCTAATTTTCAATAATAATGTTAATTTATCAAAAAAATTGTTATTTATCAATATTTGTCAAAAAAAGTATTAAATTTGGTTTTACAAATTGTTGAAAACTCAAAAAATATTTAATTTCTTTTAAAATTTGGTACTTGAATAATTAAATTTCAGTATTGTAAGTATTGTAAAGTATTGTAAATTTATATGAAAAGTATTGTAAGTATTGTACAATACTTTTTTTTACAATACTTACAATACTTACAATACTTATATGGCAAGTATTGTAAGTATTGTAAGTATTGTACAATACTACAATACTTGTATGGAAAGTATTGTAAGTATTGTAAGTATTGTACAATACCGTACAATACTTTGGAGTGTCTGACCCTTGTGTGCATGTATGAATGAAAATAAATGGTGATCAAAAGGTAAAAGACATGGAAATGATCGTTTATTAAGTTCCACAGAACAATGATTTTTAAAGTTTTATTAAGGCACCTAATTATTTAATTCTTCTAAGTATAAAATTCTTCAAATGCATCATCGAAAAACTCGTCTGTAATTTTTCCAGCTGGATCTCTACAAATATCAGCATTTGACATAACAATGTATTCCTTAATCCACTTTTGAGTTACAGGATCACTAGTTTTTGAATAAATTCCTGGAAAATTTCTAGCACATCCATCGCCAAATGACTATTAAGAGCAAATGAGCATAATAAAAATATTATAAAAATTTCAACGGAACTTACAACAACTGCAATCATTTCGTATCTGTTTGGATGCGTTTCTAGGAAGAGTGGTCCACCTTTATTTAAATAAAAAAATCTCAAAAATTTAGAGTTTTTTGAACAAGATCAAAACCGTACCTGAATCTCCCTAAAATTAAATAAGAATTCATAATTTAAATATTTCGGAATTTTCTAAACCCCAATCTAGCCCCCTCCCATTGGCTACACTCCTGCATCCCCAAATATATCTCAAAACTACTCACATTACACGAATCAGTTCCTTTTTCATGTGCGCAAATCATAGACTTAGTATTAAATCGAACCAGCCTAGCAACTTCAACAATGCATTGATCTGGTGGCTTTACACGAACTTTTGTTTCTTGAAGCTGAGTTCCCATTATTTCTGTTGTATCATTTAAGCGTCCCCATCCTGCAACAATTGCTCTCATGCCAACATATTGATCTCTTGGCTGATTAAAGCAAATTGGAGATACTGCATAATTAAATACTATTTTTTCCTTAGTTGCTACTATTGTCATGTCGTAGTCATCGTAAATTGTAAAATTTCTGAAATATGGATGCATCGCGTAATCAACAATATTATAATGTCTTCCATCTCTGTATTGTTGATCATGCATGCCAAGAACCCAGTAAGATTGTAGAGGATTAGGAATGCTACAAGAAAGTTTTGAATAAATTCAAGAATTTTTTTAAAATTTTGAAAGAGTTGCCTACTAATAATAGCAATGTCCAGCAGTTAATATATTCCTATCACTTATTATAGCACCACCACACATAAATGTGGTATCCAAAAACATTGCAGCCATCCATGGATATTTATTCTTTGATGTTGTCTTGCCATTCACAATTCGACCAACATTTTTGATGTTTGCTTCACCACAAGCTAATGAAAATTTTTTAATCCTCAACAAATTTCGTCACACAAGTCCACAACAAATTATCACAAACCACAATCCCTCCGCACCCGTCCACGTCCATGAGCTCCTATACAAAAAAGGAACACAAAAAGGCAGCAAACTTCAAATTTCATTACAACAAACAACACAGGGAAAAAATTGAGACTTGAATGATCAAATAACAAGTAGAAAATTTTTTAAGTTGCATAAATGCAATTGGATTTGCATGTGGAACTCCTATTTAACGGTACATTCGCTATGGCTTGTTTGAAAATTAATTAAAATTTATTTATTATTGATCGAGTTTTTCTTCTTCTTTTGTCATTTCTGGATGGTGACTTATTAATTGTAATTTAGTAGGAATTGAGCGGATATTAAAGGCTGTTCATAAATGATGTCTGACCTTGGGGCTCTGAATTCGTGTGACGGAGGTAAGTTTGAATGTCCAAAAGTTTAGATGATGGCAAGGAAGGATCTGAAAATCACAATTGTTGATGAACAAACCTTGTTCAACAGTGAGAGAGCAGTGTTGTGCAACCTTTTTGTGCTATGGCATGCCATCAGTGGTAGTGTAAGACTGAAACAGCACAGAATATGCGAAACTCATTTTTTGAATTTTTGCGACACACTATTTGGATAGCACTGCTTTATGGCTATCTAAGGTATGAAACAGTTGCATTTAAGATACCATCAAACATTTTGTAAACGTGAGTTTTTGAATAAAAATAAAAATCTCTTCAATAAATCAATTAAGACCTGATATTCGTGATTATTTTGGATATTATGTCTGCATATTAACTGTGAATTAAGTCATTGCATTGTTGTAAATCCTGTTTTATGTATTAAATGATACATCATATGTTGTTAATGTAATCATTTCCAGTTCCCAATCAATCCAATTCCCTTGACACTTTCTTAAGCTGAAATGTAAAATAATTTGTTCAAGTCGTGTAATCGACCATCCATATGACTGTAATAGAAATATGTTGAATTTTAAATTTTGAAATTATTGAATGAAAAGCACAGAAATATATTTAATAAAAATTTATTTATTCGGTGCCCCGCAGAGCAACAATAGCATTTATTTTGTATATTACAAGCTTTCAAACTTACATTTCAAATCTCTCAATTAATTTTTCTTTCAAATTTGGCCTAAGAATCATTCAAAAAATATTCTTAAAAAATCATATTTTATCTACATTCAATCCAATGACAATAGTTTTAACAATAAACCTCAAACCATTCTTAATGTTTTACATTGATACCTGAACGGACCTTAAATATTATGTTACTGATGCATAAAGGAATTTGGCCACTAGATTAAGTCTGAATCAAATTATTGATGAAGCTCAAGCTTATTTTTCATTTTAAAAAAAGTTTGTAAAATCTTGAAAATAATCATCAATTTTGTAGCCGCAATGCCTTAAAATTAATTTAGTCATAATTCACTTAGTTGATAATTCAAGGAAGTCTCTCACATTTTATGACTTGACATGAATTGAGAGAATCAAGAAGGCACATTTAACTAATGAATTCAAAGGTTTTATTTTTATTCAGGATTATACGGCACAGTAGTGTAAGCCAGTCCACATTGAATTGAAGGCACTTCATAGACATCATTAATGTTTAATTTATTTTTGTTTCTTTTTGTTAAAAGTGAATCTGTGTTGTTATTTGAGTCTTGATAATTGAGATTTTCGTCTGTGCTGCTCGCAATTTTTTCTAAAATTTCATTTTCTTTTGACAAAATTTCCTCGTCAACTTCTCGTGACGCTAGTTCTTCTTGTACAAGTGCATATCCCATACCTGGAAGATTTTTAATTTCTGGCTTTTCTACAGAGTTATATGATGGATTAATTGGATGATGCCAGATGCTGAACAATGTTGTTGTCTTTGGAGCTTTTTCTGGATTTCCATACTTTTCATGAGACATGTCACCTGTGCGTAGGCAACGGTTCTTGACCTGCAAAAAATAATTAAAATTAATTTCAACATTTTATAGCACAAAGTAGTCCATTTACCATTGCAGCAGTTGCTTCACGTCGATCATAAATAATTCCGAATTTAGCAAGAAAATCGATAAGAGTACAAGTTAAATTGAGTGGACTTCCAAGTTCAGCTGCACGATAATCCCATGGAAATGCATGATGATAGTTATGCCAGCCTTCACCTGTTGCTAGAGCGGCGACCATCCATGACTCAACTGGGAAGATTGTTCTGAAGAAATTTAAAAAATTCGGATTTTAGAAAAATTGGAATTAGAAATATTTTGAAAAAAAAATCAAAACTTACTTATCGAAAGGCCTAGTTCCATAAAGATGAGCAGCACTGTTGACAAGCCACGTGACATTTAAGTTGATAATAGTTCGTCCAAAATATGCAACCCACATAGCCATCCAGAAACCCTCACCCCAGCAGTAAATAGGAATGGCAGTCGGTAATCCAAGAGCAAAAACTGTATAAAGAAGTTTGTAGTGACTGAAAATAAATTTAAAGTGTAAAAAATATTAAGTGGGTTAATTAACAAGTGTGATAATAAAGAGAATTAAGAAGAGATTAAAGGAGCTAAACTGTAGAAGTTGTTGTCATCAATCAATTTTATTGCAGGCTAAAATGTTTTATTGTTGAAGGATTTAAGGCTGGTTTGAGATAAGAAAGAATGATGGTTTGTAGAATATTTTTTTAAAAACATAATTTTAAAAATTTTGCAATTTTTTAAGCATTTTTAAATGTATTTTTAAAATAATTATTTATGTCAAGTTTAAAGTTTAATCAAATTCCTTAAAAAATTATTAAAAAATCTCAAAGAAAACTTTTTCATTTCACACAACAATAAAATGCACGATAAACGTCAAAAGTAGCAAAAAGCATGCAAACAATCGACTTTACATTCAACCTTAACATTGACTGAGCTTGCAGCCATTGAGAAAATTAATATGCAACAATTATTTTTTGAGATTTATTCGATTTTCAATCAAAATTGATGATTTATTGCTTTGCCTTTTTAACATTAATTGAAGATGATTAGGTATTTACAGGTTCTAGCCGGTTCTGAGCTTGAGAAGCCAATTATTTATTTAAATGGTTTGTTAATGTGCTCTCAGACAATTTTAAAAAGAACAATGAACTTTATGTACAATAAAAGCATTATAAAAACTATTAAGGTAAGTTGTAGTTCATATTTTGACATTAAAAGGATGCAGTGGTGGTCAGAAATAACATTTTTTGAGAGACAGCCCTAAAATGATCCCTAATAATCAAATGAATATTCTTTCTTCATTAAACCCCATTCAAAGAAGATAAGCTTATCTAAAAGCTAGAATATCACTCAATTTCACGGTTGTCTCATGACATTGAATATTTCTTAAGCTGCAACATCAACTGCACCACACACAAAAGCAAACTCTATCCAATATGCACAGTATCAATGTCATTTACATCTGTAGATTCCAAATAAATGAATGATCTCACTTGAATCATTCCGATAATTGGATTTTAAAGTGTTGAAAGAAAGTAAAAATTAATCATCGATTGGCAATCAATTTTCCCACATTTAGCATTAAAGGACTCAAAATAAAATCAATTTAAAATCATGAAAACAATAATCAATCAATTTGGACCTTATCATCATAAAAATTACAGCACCCAGTAAATTAATGCAAAATTGATAAATTCCTTTCGATTAAGATGAACACGAAATTCTTGTAAAGTTGACCACACGGTTTACATGAAATATGTAGGTAAAGTTCAGCAAGAAAATTATTGGTCACATATCAAGGTTTGCTGCTGTGTAGTTTGATTGATTATTGACTAATTATAATACTTTGTCAATTTTATTATATTTTGATTTTATTTTCTAAATACTTTGTCTTGTTTTAGTGCTGTGAGGCAGAGTTGTGGGTGCTTTGTGGTATGGAAGATGCTAAGTTCTCAATATGTAGCATTCGATCTATGCAAAAACCAGGAACTTTTGAGGTCAAAACCAATTCAACACATAATTACCTTCCCCATCCCCCTTCGTTTAATTCAACCTTAATTTTCAAGATTTACCTCTGGAAATTTACATGCATATGAATGATATTAAGTCATATTTAAACCAATTAGTTATAATTATTGTTGGATACGTCTACATTATAAAATACATACAAATTCATTTTTTTCATTCAGTTAATTCAACATAAAAGCATATGTAGCATGTGTGTGGTTATGTAATAAATGTTTAGTTCTGATAATCACATTTCTTACATTGTAATAGTGGGCCATTCATAAACGACGTCAATCGAAAATTAAGAACTTCTGACCCCATCCTCATTCTTTGTACAAATAGTTCTCTTTTGGATTATTAGCTTCATCTTCCTCTACAGATGTACATGATTTATGAACAAACCCCAAATCAAGGTTAATAAACCGGCATGACTTGTAGATTTTTTTTGAATTTTTATTGATTAAGAATTGCTGATTGTAATGTAAATTTTGACATGATTCTTTGAAAAATCTGAGAAAACTTTAAATGCATGAGAAGTTCTCAGCAGTAAATAATGCTTTTAAACATCTTTATGATCTAAGGTCAATTCAGAAAGGATTGCAGTGCCTTCAGCGTCGCAACGTCTAGTAACACACCGCCTGGCTAGAACCCTCTCACAAGGTCAATTTAAAATAAAATCAAAATAAAATTCAAACTCACTTTTTCTGGAACATAATGTAGGGATCAGCTTCCATATCCGACATATCAATCTTCTTGCCATATTCTTTCACTTTTGGATGCTTCCTTACACAAAGCCAGCCAACATGACTGAACCAGAAGCCACGATTAGCACTGTTAAAAGTTAAAAAGAATTATAAAAATTGCAAATTATGAGAATTAAATTAAGCTACTTACTTATGAGGATCAGCATCGGTGTCACTAAGGAATAAATATTAAATTAATTCTAAATACAAATTCTGATAAAAGATCATGAAATCTACCTGTATTTGTGATGCTGACGATGATCACGTACCCAAACGTACAAGCAATTTTGACCTGCAAGTGTGTGCATGTAAAGTAAGAAGATTTTAAGCCACCGATTAGCCTTAAAAGCTCGATGACTCCATAGTCTGTGTGCACCCATTGTTACACCCTGTCCTGCTGCATAGATCAGCCAGAGAGCTGCAATATTTGAAAATTAAAATTGATTTTGAATTTTGGAACCTGAAAATCTAGTGAAAACTTACAATATAGTGACGTCTGCCACTTGCATACTAAAAATAATCCAGCAATTGCACCAGAAAATCCAATAATGTGCAATAAAATAAATCCAATAGTGTTGAACCAAACGAATGTAAATTTATAATTAGGATCAGTTCCAATTTCAGCTCCCGCATGCATAACTGGAACTTTTGAACCAATTTCTCGGCACTTCTTTAACTCATCTTCATGTGACTCTGAATTTGTAATTTTTTCAACCAATTCTTCGGTCTTTGATGTTGACAATGTCGAGTCTTCTGCCTGCATCATTTTTGTGTCAACAGTAAGTGACTTTGTTGATAGTAGAGCAGCTGTTTTTGAGCAAATCGTTTGCTTTGCATTAGCATCGGCACCCATTTTTATGTTTGCTTTCGAAAAACTTTATTTAAGTTTTGAGTCTATTGTCTTTTTTGTAGAGCTGTTGCTAAGGTTTTGTTTGCTGTTTAATATTTTTATGCTCTGAAAAAGATTCGAGAAAATGAGATTTTTGGGTAAGTGATGAGATTCGAGAATGAAAGTGAGTCAAATTTATTTGGAAGTTTCTAGTTGATTGATTCTTAAATTAAGCATGGATTTGCTTGATGAATTTTCAAAACGAGTTGTGTCAATAGAATCAAGAACCTGGGAATCGAACCATCTCGATTCCATTTCAAGTCTACAACTCTAAAATTTCACATTCAAAAATCGACTCCATAAGCTTCACAACTTACACAGTAGTGCAAATTCTCAATGCATGAACATCACATCAATTATCTCACATTCAAAAACCTGTTGGCATTGCTTTGCCTCTTCCTCAAAGAAAAAGTCATAAAGCACAGACCTTTTGAGCTTTCAAATTTATTACACAATCACAATTACATTGAAATTTGTCGATTCTGTTCTTCCTAAGTCAACATCAATTTAAACATTTTAATGACTTCAGTAGTGAAAATAATTTGCATTATAATCGCAGTCGGCATAGAAAACGAGTTTTTTTTTGCTTTTCTTTCATTAAGATATTTTCAGCAGTAGACACTGTAAATGACGTTGGAACTTGTGAATTGGAATAATCCGTGAGTTTAATCATTCAATAATATAATACTTAAAATATGTAAATAATGAATATTGGAAAATTAGGAACAGAAACAGTTCAGTTATTAAAAATCGATTTAGGGATGTCGATAATAAGTTCTAATTAGAATAATTTGCTGTTATAATTGCGGACATTTGCATTGAGTATGATGAGAAAATGAGGTGAAAATTGTAATTATTTTTGTAGGTTATAATTTTGTTATTTGAATAAGGATTGATGGAAATTTAATGAGAATGATGTTGTTGCTTTGAGGGTCTGTAGGAATATTTGCTAGGTTTTTTAATTTGTAACTCTATTTTTGGAAGTTTTTGTTAAAGCTTGAGAACAATCACGGCTATATTAAGGCAAAAATATGTCACATTGATTCTCGGATCTACTCTGGAGTTAGCTGCGGTATTCTTACCAGCAACTGAGTTAGATTTGAGGCCTTTTGTTGTAACTTAAGCTCCACTTAGGAACATGGTTAACGTACGTAAAGTAAGCATTCTTAGTAGGACCCGAATGGCACACATTGAAATTTTTGCCACACGACAGCCGGGTTGATAGTATAAAAATATCTAAGCAGCAGCCAATTGACCAATTCAATGAATTTCAATGTGTGCCGATCGGGGTACATTTGAGGTTTTATCTCATCTTATTCGCCTAAACCCAAACATCCAAAAAAAAAAATCCAATTTCTGAATCATTCAATTCAAGCTTTATCATTTCCCAATCCCACATGACAGTCCTGACTTACATTTATTGTAAATACAAAGACAGGTTTAACAGTTACAAAAAAAAGTAAATAAATATATTTATAAAAAATTATTTCCATTGCATCATTGACGGCAATTTACATCAAGTTCAAGTTTAATAAACTCAGCAGCAACAGCAATTTCGCTTTCATTACGATCGTGATTGTTTCTTTTTTTCTGTCAACCGGTGTGTAAAATAACTGGAATTTTTTTTACTTTTGCTGCATTTTATTAAGAATTAGGTCTGTTAGACGTTAGCCATGAATTATTCAAGTCTTGCGCCCTTTTAAATGTGTCACTGAATCTCATAAAAATAACTTTTTCAATTTTTTAAAAAAATTAAATGATTAATAACAAAATGCTGTGAACTTGATGAGTAGGAAAAAAAATGTTGTAGGAACTATAGTCTACGTGAGATTTGAATGACCTGCATTTCAGTTTTAAATGTTGAATCAATTAGGTAACTTTTATCTACAATACGATAATTTTTGCTAATGAAAAAATGGGAAATTTATTGTTTTATTAAAAAATATTTAAATTGGACGAAAATTGGCTACTTTATTGTAGGTGTGAATTAGTGACACGGAAGATTTTTTTTATTAATAGATCAAATTGCATTTTGATGGATGCGAATTTTTGTGATTTTGTAAAGCACGTGCCAATTTGATATTCGCAAATTTGTTTTTTGCAGAACTGGATTTTTAAAGAGTTTGATCAATAAACTTGGAGTTATTTATTGACATAGGAAGATCTTAAATGTTGTATTTTTACTACAAATAGTATTTTTGTGTAGAAATGCAATAAATTGAAGTTCATGTCGATTTCCTTCCAAATTCCCCATGACGTCAATGAAGGATGCAAGTGAATGGGATAAAAAATATTATTCATAATTAAATCTTTTTATGGAACAGATCACAATTTGCATTAAGAATATTGAATAATTAAGCTGGATTAGTCAGCACTTCATAGAAATTAGACGATGGAAATTTAACACAGACACATCTAATTGGAAATGTATAAAAATAAAATAATTTATTGCATTTTACAGAATTCTCATGGAAAGGTTTTTATTGAGCATGTTCAATGTTAATAATAGGAATTAAGTTATAAACTGAAAGTAGCTAAGTATATGTATAGTTTTGATTTGGTTTGAATTTTGTTGCTAGTGTTGAAAGGACTAGAGTTACGACTAAGGTCACAACTAGGATCACGACTAGAGTCCCGACTTAGGGCCCCGACCAGGGTTACGACTAGGATCACGACTAGGGTCAGGACTAGGATCACGACTAAGGTCACAACTAGGATCACGACTAGAGTCCCGACTTAGAGCCCCGACCAGGGTTACGACTAGGATCACGACTAGGGTCAGGACTAGGATCACGACTAAGGTCACAACTAGGATCACGACTAGAGTCCCGACTTAGAGCCCCGACCAGGGTTACGACTAGGATCACGACTAGAGTCAGGACTAGGATCACGACTAGGGTCAGGACTAGGATCACGACTAGGGTCCCGACCAAGGTTACGGCTAGGGTCAGGACTAGGATCACGACTAGGGTCACAACTATAATCAACATTAGGACAATTGTCAAATGTTCAGGACTAGAATCTTTAGTATAAAAAATTGGAAGCAAAATCAGTATCAACACTAATGCTCCAAACAGTGTTGCAAATGTAGATGTCTACACTAGATGAAGAATGTAGATTCTTCAATAGTTTTCGTCTAGCTAAGAAACTTTCTTCATAAAGATCGATTCTATGTGAAGATAGAAAATCTAATCTACACAAAGATTATTTGTACATAAAGATTCTGTCTACATAAAGATTCGATGTAGATGTCTACAATTCTACATTTTTTCTAGGTCTACATCAGAGAAGAATGTAGAATTGTAGACATCTACATCGAATCTTTATGTAGAAATAATCTTTATGTAGAAATAATCTTTATGTAGAAATAATCTTTGTGTTGATTAGATTTTCTATCTTCGCATAGAATCGATCTTTATGAAGAAATTTCTGTCTCAGCATTTATCTGATCCAGACAAATCGCCAGAATGCAACACTGGCTCCAAATTAAAAATTGGTTTCAGAGCCTCCAAGAACCAAAAGTTTCACTATAATCACATAATCGTACTAAATGCAATGAATTTTCAACTAGCTTTCTTGAATCTCATACACCTTAAAATTTAAACAAGCCCTTTTAACTTTTATGCATCAAAAGATGTCACTGCAAATAACTCCATAATTATCATGCAGCAGAAAATGAGCATTAATCTTTTACGCCGTTTTCAAAACAATCAAACAATAGCGACAATAATGACAGCTAAGTTGATGATCCACACGTAATGGATGTCTTTAAATATTTACTTTCATGCTTTTAACTTGATTTCAATAAGCACACATTGCAAAAGATTATTAGAAATAAAAGTTTGGGTTTAAGCACTTGCTTGTTGCTGATCATGATCAAGTGTGCAAAGTGTTTGCTGAGTGCTTTATATCTTTTGAGATAGCAAATATTTGAATAGATTATTTTTCGCTTTTTTCAGCTCATTAAGCTGAATTGTTGCCTGTCATAATATAAATAAACATTGAGGTGCAATTTAGCATGTAAAAGTTTTAGGAAATTGGAAATTATTTTCACAAAAAAACCTGCGAAAATGGGAAAGTCATGTAAATTAAGCATGTAAAAAGCTGTACAAAGCGCAAATATTACAATGTTGTCGGTCTTTTAACAGCCAACGTTGAGGTCAAGTCCACGATAATTGTAGATCAACCAATCACTCATACAGCTTAACATCTTGTCGACGGTCATGCATAATTTCTGCACATTAAGACGACGTCATTCATTCAACCAACAATTCAGTCCATTCATCATAAAATTTAGGGCGCGAAAAGACGATTGACGGAATAGAAATTAGTCAATTTATTGCAAATTGCAGCTTCTTTTCTTTCTTTTTTCTTTCACAAAGATTGAAGCTTTTTGCTGTTGTGCATTGTTAATTTATTTATTAGCATTTTATGGCCTTTTGTTAATGAAGATTTTTATTGCTTTTTTTTGCTATTTTGTAGCAAGGTTTTTGAGGTACGATGATTGTAAAGGGATTGAAATGCTTTTTTGCATGTTTAGAGCAACAAAGTCTTTAAATATTGGCACAAATAAATGAGTTTTAAGTAGGATGACCATCTGCGTAGTTTTTCAACGGACAGTCCTGTATTTTTTATGAAAATTAGAAGGTAACCCTAGTTTAAAGATCATGACATAGCTTTGTTGTGATACCTATTGAAGATTGTGACTCCCTAGACCTGAATGAGACCTTAGCTAAGGCTTTTGATCGCTTTAGGATAAATCAGAAGTGATCCCACTCTTACTCCCACTATTTTTCTCAAGGCGTAGAAACTCAGGATTAATCCTTAAAAAATTTCTGGAACCCTCAGGATTATCCATTAGTTTCCATGCCTTAATTTTTCTGAATTCAAGGAGCACAAATGATTTCTTCCTGACTTGTATTCTTATTCTTAGAATCCACTTTTCATGTTACTACAACATCTTAAAGCACTCTATCCCTCAACAACCTCACAAAAATCCAAACTTAATATTTCTTCTTCTGTTGTTGCTGCTGCTCTTTGTTATGTATTGACGTCTTTTTAAAGGGAA